TTGCCCTTAGCCCTCAACTGGCGTACGCACCTCTGAGTTCCCTGCAATTCCAGACCCCACCTCTCCTCATCAGCCTTATGCCAAGTGGGTCTCCCTCCATCATCCAGCCCTAATGAAGGATTTCTTTTCCATAAGTAAACGCATTTTGCCTCCAGCAGAGTTAGCGAGATAACCAAGTTTGGGCCCGGTAGGCCAGCCCGAGAAGGAAGGACATGGTCGCACCAGCGCGCTGGGCTCAGTGAGGTAGTGTGGTGCTGTGGTCCCGGTGTGGGCTTTGGCCGCAAATAGACCTGAGCTCAAATTCCATTTGCTGTTTTTGGCTGTATGCCCTTACATAAGTTCATTTTGCTCTGAGCCTGTCAAATCATTCCCATCCCAGGGTTATGAGGACGAATGGGGGTTTTGGATGTAAAATGCTTCGCTTACTGTCTGCTGAACAGGAAGTGCTTACTAAGTGGTGGTGGTAGCTATGAAGTTACGAAGGGTTCTAAGGCTTAGGCCCCTGCCCTCTCCCCAGCCCAGCCCCCTCTAATCAGGGGGACCCAAGAAATCGAAGCTTCCGGCCTGGCTCCTCATGACCCCAGAGCTTGGCTGGACCTTCCGACCCTCTTTGTCTGCAGGCGGCTCCCAAGAAAACCTCCTTTGGCTCGCTGAAGGATGAAGACCGGATCTTCACCAACCTGTACGGCCGCCACGACTGGAGGTGAGACGGTGCCCTTAGCCTGGTGGGTCGCAGGGCGGGGCCTCCCCTTCACTGCCGTCCCTGCTCGATGCAGGCTGAAAGGCGCCCAGAGCCGAGGTGACTGGTACAAGACGAAGGAGATCCTGCTGAAGGGGCCTGACTGGATCCTGGGCGAGATCAAGACGTCAGGCCTGCGGGGCCGTGGGGGAGCCGGCTTCCCCACCGGCCTCAAGTGGAGCTTCATGAATAAGCCCTCGGATGGCAGGTGCGTTTGGGGAGGCAGGTTTGGGGTCGCAGGCGAAGCCTTGCGAGTGGCTGTGGCTTACCCGGGGCTTTGGGCGGTTTCCTGGAGGGAACCCAGTGGGAAAGTGTTGCCAGAGCTTACGTAGGCGGAACACGGTTCTGTCCGGTGCTCCTCGGAGGGGACTTGGGGGGCAGGGGAGCCAGCACAGCTTCGGACCCAGGCAGACGCGACTGGCCGGTTCCTGGCCCTGCCTTCCACTCACCTGCCTTTGGGCCGTCCCTCAGCCTTTCTGGACCCCAGCGTTCTTCTCTGTAAGCGGGTGTCTGCTGTGTAGGGGTTGAAGAGATGCCGTTTGTATAGACGTTGGCCTGCTCATTAGTCCACACATAGCGAGCAGATGGTAGCTGTCCAGAAGGCCCTCTGTGGCGGCCAGGAGCACAATGTGGGCTCTTGGGAAAGCACAAGGAGAGACATTTGCACTGAGTGGGAGGGACAAAGACCTTTCTGGTGGCCCTAGCCACTGAAAGGCGGACTAGACAGTGAGCTCCCTATCACTGGTGGTGAGCAGACAGAGCCCCTGGGGACATGGTGGGCGGGCAGGGGGAGAAGGCTGTCCGAGGGGACATCGTTGAGGCTTCCCTTGGTAGTGTGGGGGTGGGAGACCGTCCCCGGGGTCCCCGCAGCCTGACTGGCCCGTTGGCCCCCACAGGCCCAAGTATCTGGTGGTGAACGCAGACGAGGGGGAGCCGGGCACCTGCAAGGACCGGGAGATCATGCGCCACGACCCCCACAAGCTCGTGGAAGGCTGCCTCGTGGGGGGCCGGGCCATGGGTGCCCGCGCGGCCTACATCTACATCCGCGGGGAGTTCTACAACGAGGCCTCCAACCTGCAGGTGGGCCGGGGGCAGGCGTCCACGCAGGACGGCTCACTCTGTGTGCGCTCACACACCCGCTTACCTGGCTCGGCTGTTCTCAGGGTTTAGCGCCTGACGTGTGTGTCAGACCCGGAGAGTGGCAGTCACCCCTGCGTGTGTCGTGAATGGGACATGGCCCCCACAGCCTTCTCCTCTGGGCCCTTCCAGGATGCCCCAGAGCCTCCATTTGGGAGGCCTTCCGGGCTCCGTGACTCCCAGGGTGCGTGGGGGTGGGCTGGGGAACTCATATGAGGCCATGTTTCCTGCAGAAGGGTCACGGGGTCATTTCAGTCCATCTTAGCTTGGTGATGTCTGTGGTGGCTGGTCCGGGGCCCAGTCACACCTTTCTGTTCGGCTCCTACACAATGACCAGGGACACGGGAATGGCGCCTGGAGCGGTGCCTGGCACACACTAGCATCACGTACAAGAGTTATTACGTATTTTTAAATACACCTCCAGGGTCTTCCCCTCTGCTGCAGATGCAGCACCTAGGATGAAAATAGGAAACCACACCCACAAAATAGAAAAACCTCCCACAGATCCACTACCTAGAGAAACTGTGTGCTGAATTTTCATTATCCTAAAGTCTGTCTTTAAAACTCGATAGTTGGAGAATTTGTAAGTGTCGCCGTTATGATAGCACGCACACAGTGGGCATCCGTGCCCCTCCCAGAGCACCCTCCACTCGTGTCCAGAGGGGGCTCTTGCCCTGGATTTGGTGGTGGGCTCCCAGGGCTTATCCCCCACCCCCACCCCCCACACACACAGCATTGCCAGGCTCTTGGGGACAGCGCCCTTGCACCCGTCCCACAGGTGGCCATCCGAGAGGCCTACGAGGCTGGTCTGATCGGCAAGAACGCTTGCGGCTCCGGCTATGATTTCGACGTGTTCGTGGTGCGCGGGGCCGGGGCCTACATCTGCGGGGAGGAGACGGCGCTCATCGAGTCCATCGAGGGCAAGCAGGGCAAGCCCCGCCTGAAGCCGCCCTTCCCCGCAGACGTGGGTGAGACCCGGCCCAGCCCTGGGCCTCATCCTGGGCCCTGTGCTGTCTGGAGCCTGACTTCAAGTCCCCGCTGGTCTTTCTTAGGGGATTTTGGAGTCCCCTCTGCCCCGGGGGCCAGACCCAGAGAGTAGGGCGGTAACAGTATGGAGGCTCCGCCGGTGCCACCTGCCTCATCCCCCATGCGAGAGACCCAGTCCCCTCCAGCCCTCCGGGAGCAGGGAGCCGGTGGTGCAGGGCCTGGCGGAGCGGGGCTCCAGTGGGAAGGACAGCGATGGTGGGGTGGGCAGCACTCCGCCACGGGAGCAGGACCCTGGGACAGACCCGCTGCCTGGAAACCTGTCCCTGGTAGCCAGCAGTCTCCCGTCCCATTTCCCCACAGGAGTGTTTGGCTGCCCCACGACGGTGGCCAACGTGGAGACAGTGGCCGTGTCCCCCACCATCTGCCGCCGTGGGGGTGCCTGGTTTGCCGGCTTCGGCCGAGAGCGCAACTCGGGCACTAAACTGTTCAACATCTCTGGCCACGTCAACCACCCGTGCACGGTGGAGGAGGAGATGTCCGTGCCGCTGAAGGAGCTGATCGAGAAGCACGCGGGTGAGGCCTGGGGCCGGGGCGGGGCGGTGGGGTGGGGGCGGGGCTTGGGGCTGGAAGTGTGTCAGGCTGGGGAGAGGGGGGAGGGGTGGACAGGTCCTGCGCTCGGGACTAGGCAGCTGTGCCGGCGCAGGACCTGACCGTCCATCCTTTTGGGAACTGTGACCCTAGGGGGTGTCACGGGTGGCTGGGACAACCTCCTTGCTGTCATCCCCGGTGGCTCGTCCACCCCACTGATCCCCAAGTCCGTGTGTGAGACCGTGCTGATGGACTTCGACGCGCTGGTGCAGGCGCAGACCGGCCTGGGCACGGCCGCGGTGATTGTCATGGACCGCTCGGTAGGGATGATGGCCCACACTCCCCATCCGGGCCCCACCCTTGCCAGCCTGCTCGGCACCCTCCTGGGCTTCTCTGAGGACTCCTGCCGGCTCCTGGGTCCCGGACCCCACCGCCTGAGCCCCAGGCGGGAGAGGAGGGGAGCGGGGCTGCTCTGGGGCAAGACGCCCCGGGGAGGGCGGGGTAGCCGCCAGAATGCTTTTGGAACCGGAAGGGGCTGCTTCTAGGGGCTGGGGCTCCAGCCTCGGACGCTGCTCACTGTCCCTTGTCGCTCCAGACAGACATTGTGAAAGCCATCGCCCGCCTCATCGAGTTCTACAAGCACGAGAGCTGCGGCCAGTGCACGCCCTGCCGCGAGGGTGAGCGCCTGGGCGGGGCGGGGGCCTTCTCTGTGGCTCGGCCTGCCCCGGGGTGGGCGCTGGACCCCGAATAAACAGACCCTGCCCCGCAGCCTGCCGGGGCCTCTCTTAGTTCCTCGCTGCTGTGGCTGCAGGTGTGGACTGGATGAACAAGGTGATGGCCCGCTTTGTGCGGGGGGACGCCCGGCCGGCCGAGATCGACTCCCTGTGGGAGATCAGCAAGCAGATAGAGGGCCACACCATCTGCGCCCTGGGCGACGGGGCCGCCTGGCCCGTGCAGGTGCTCGCTGCCCCGCTGTGGCTCTGGGGTGGGGGCGGGTTGCCGGAAACCCAGGGCGGCGGAGGGTTTCTAGAACCCAGCTCACACAGTGCCCTCACCCCTTTCCAGGGCCTCATCCGCCACTTCCGGCCGGAGCTCGAGGACCGGATGCAGCGCTTCGCCCAGCAGCACCAAGCCCGGCAAGCCGCCTCCTGAGCCTGCTGCCCTGGGCTGGCCTCTCTCTGCCCGGAAGACGTTTGGACAATAAAGCCAGTGCTGCCCACTGTCCCGTTGTGGCTCCTCTGTGGCCTCGCTCTCCACCCTGCCACCCGAGGCCCGTTACGCTCGGAGCCTTGTTTCCCGGGTGGGGGAGGCAGGAGAGGCTAGGTCAGCGCAAGGTCATGTGAACCCAGACCCTGGCCTCCTGTGGGTCCGTGACTCTGGCTGAGACCACCCTGAACTCCCAGCCCTCAGTGCATGAAGCAGGGGTGGGGAGGAGGGGAAGGTGTGGCTTGGGGTCAGAGCCTGGGGGTGCTGGGGGTGCGGGCGAGGAGAACAGGGTCGCGGTGTGCCCTGTGAGGCGCCGGGCGGGGAAGGAACAGGCCTCGCCAAGTCCGGTGCGGAGGAGAGGTTTATTCGCGCTGCCTTGTCTGGTGGGGACGACGGTGAACGGGGAGAGGACGGGAAACGACGTGACTGGTGCTGGGCGTGGCGAGTGAGGCTGCCCCAGGTCCACCCGACTCCGGGGAGACATCCGGCCAGTTGGGGAGGTGGGGGAGCGGTGAGCAGGGCCAGGCCAGGGGCCCCCGCTAGTCGCTAAGCTGGAGGGGCGCCCCGTCCAGCGGGTGCCACAGCTCCAGCCGGCGGTCACTGCGGCCCAGACACTCCCTCCAGTGCCGCTGGCACTCCCCGCTGGCCCGGCCGCTCAGCTGCACCCCACCTGGGTTGGCAGCGGGGGTCAGGAGCTGTGTGGGCGCCCACTGGACGGCCCCCTGGCGCCCCTGCTGCCCCACTCACCGATGAAGTCGTCCGCTGTGCCCAGGTCGTAGTCCCACACGGACACCAGCAGTGTCTTCTGGGCCAGCTCCTGCCTCGGGCCTTCGTAGAGGAACTCCTGCGGGGGCGGGACAGGGGCCCTTCGCAGCTTCTGAAACCGGCTTGGGCTGGTGAAGGGCTCGGGCCAGCTGGGCCCTGCGTTTTCTGACCCAGGCAGGGTGCTGCCACCCCCCCACCCCCCAGCAGCCAGAAGTGCCTGGGCCCAGCCCTGGCCTACCTCATTGAACTCGGGGTTCAGGGTCTTCTTCCGCACGCTGGTCTTATACTTAGATTTCTTTCCCACGTTAGGATACAGGAAACTAATTGGGGAGGGTGGGGCCGGGTTAGGTGGCGCTCTGGAGAGGTGAGCCCCAGAGGGGCTCCGGGAGACGCCCGCGCCCACCTGTCCACCCCGTCTCACACTCACAGGCGGACGAAGGGGTCCGAGTAGCCATTGGCGTCCATGGGGGCGAGGTGGGCGCAGCGCAGCACCCCTACCAGCAGGCCGCCCCTCTGAGAGCTGTAGCACAGCGACAGCAGGATGCGCCCTCGCTCCTCCCCAGCCGCCGCTGCGGCGGCCTCCGCCGCCTCCTGCAGGTGGCCGGGGTCAGCCCCATGGGGCCCAGAGCCCACCTGCCCACCAGCGTCAGCCAAGACCGGAGAACTCGGACTGGCTGCAGAGGAATCGGGGGCCAGCGGTCTAACCCCATGGCCAGTCTCCAGAAACTGTCACTGACCAGCGGCGGCTCGGCAGGGAACGTCACCTGGCGGCCCCGAGAGGGTCTGAGAGGGTCTGAGAGGGGAGGGGCTCACTCAGACCATGTGACCGGCCAGTTCTGTGCATTCACCGCGCGCCATGCCAGGAGCTTCCCCCGTGGCCTCCCGCTAAGCGCTCACCGCCACCCCCCCCTCCCCCCCGGCAAGGTGAGCCCCGTGTCACGGAAGCCGCCCTGAGAGGGCGTGCAGGTCTTTCCAGCCACAAAGCCCGCCCTCGCCCCGACGGGGGTGGTTTGCTGGGTTCAGCGTCCTCCTGCAAACCGAGGGGTTGCCGGTTCGATTCCCAGCCAGGCCCCCAGTAGGGGGGCGTGTGAGAGGCAAGCACAGGTTGATGTTGCCCTCTCTTCCCCTCGAAAAACAAATCTAAAATAAATAAATAAAAACCCTGCCCTCTTCACCTCCAACCATGCTGGGGACCAGACGCTGGCAGGCCCGGGGTGAGCCCAGGAGTGCTCAGGGAGGGAGGCTGGGACGGAGAACAGGTTTCTCCCACACTTAACATAGGGGGCAGAGAGCCAAACCACCGTGCTAACACTCCGTTCTCAGTGTGGGAGTGTTCCCGTGAGCACCGCCGTGCTCCAGGCACCGCAGAGCGTAGGGTCTGGGACAGGATGCGGGTGGCCCTGGCTGCCTCCTCACCACCGTGGGACTTCCCTGGCCTTGCGGAGTCGGCAGCCGCAGTAACTTGTGGCTCCACTAGGTGGCAGGTCAGCAGCACCTGGCTCCTCAACCTGAGGGGGAGGGGACTGGCCTGCCTCAACCTTGCAGTCCCCCGCCCCCGCCCTGCGGAAGAGGTTCTGGCCTGTCTTTGGCCTCTGGCGGTCCCCTGCACTCACCGTCACTGCCTCCTGACGAGGGCCCACGGGCCCCAGGAGTGGCACCCGCACTGTCCCAGGGGTCAACCTGGCAGTCGGTGAACCCCACCCTGTCCGTTTTCTCCCGCCTTCCCAGCTCCTCTGGCCACAGACAGAGCCCATCAATTTCAGCCGCTGACCCCCAAGGGCTCTGCCGTCCCCCAGTGCCCCAGGCCTCCTCTGGCCTGGCTGCTCCTGCTCCCAGGGCTCCCAGCATCGCAGCGTGAGAGACACGGCCGCAGTCTCCCCAAGCCCACCTCGGCCCCTGCCCGGCGCACTCTAGCCTGGGTCCCCCAGGCCTGTCCCTGCCACACCCCCGCTCTGTCCACTGTCCCACGTACCTCATACAGGGACATGCCACGGGACGTGTCCAGGCTCTTGGGCCTCTTGGTCTGAAAGAGCAGAGAGCCTGGTCCCCGTGGCTGGACGCTGCCCCGGTCCCCTCCCTGCCCTCCGCTCTCCGGCTCCGCCGTCACCAGGCAGCCGGCCCCGGAAGCCCCCCTCGGGTACCTCCCCCACTCACCAGCCTCCGCTTCTCCAGACACACGTCGAAGCTCCTGGCTCGGTTGGGCAGCAGCCTCCTCAGGGGCACCCGCAGCTCCCCCAGGGGAGGCGCTCGCCGGCGGCGCCGCAGCCACGGGTCCTCACACACACACAGCCTGGGGCCCCCCAGGTCAGACCCGGACGGGGAAGGCCCCGCCCCCGCCCCGCTCCCTCGTGGCCCGGGTCCGGTCCTCACCGCAGGGTCTTGCGCTCCGCGTCCTGGCGGGTGAAGCCGTGATAGGTGAGCGTCTCTTCCCAGACAGGCCCCCTGGAGCCCCGGACCGTGCGCGTCCGCAGCTGGCTGGCCTGGGGGCCAGGCAGGGCGGGTCGGGGTCTCCTCAGGGTGCAGGGCCCCCCCCACCCCGCCTCCCCGATAGACTCCTCAGCTGTGCGTCCAGCGATGAGGAGCTCCGGGCCCAAAGCCCAGGCCTTGCGGGGAAGGATCAGGGTGGATAGGTGGGGGCGGGGGGGCTGCCGCCTGGGCGTGTGGGCGAGGGGTGCAGTAGAGGTCTGGGGCTCGCTCTCACCTTGCTGGCCCCCGGCAGCAGATTGGCTTTGACATAGGTGTCCACGGACCCTGAGGCTGGTGGCCTGAGGCCCTGGGAAGAGACGATGGATGTGGGGCAGGCCTGTGGCCCAGGCCCAGGGACCCCGGCCCCGCCCTTACCTTGGCGCGGTGAGCCGTGCAGTGCAGGGCGCTGTTGTCCGCATCAAAGAGAAGTGTGAACTCCAGGGTGCCCAGGGCAGCTGGGGGCAGGCAGCACGCAAGGTCAGCGCCTACCTGAACACCCTCTCCTGGGCCCCACGCCTCCTGCCCTGCCCCAGACGGGTCAGACAGACTGGGATGCCTCAGCCCCCGCCCTGGCTGGGCCCGGCCCAGGGTGCCCCGCATCCCCCGCCCCACTCACTGCTGTCGTCCGAGTCTCCCTCTGGCTCTGGGTTGGGCTGCAGCTGGGGTGCAGAGCGGAGGGCAGGGGCCACCGCAGGGTGCGGGTCTGGGGTGCGCAGGGCGGGCTCAGCGAAGGGGCAGAAGTGCGGGAAGTAGTCCGAGATGAGGCGGATGGGCCGGATGGGTCCCGGGTTCACGTCGATGGCCATGTGCTCCTGCATGCTCACCCGCTGTGGCCGCCTCCCGCTCACTGCCGCAGCGCCCGCCATGGCGGCTCAGACATGGGGCGGGGGCTCAGACGAGCCCCCTTGGGTTGCATAGGAGGGACCCACACTGGGCCAACCAGACACGGTGAAGAGGCATCACTGAGGGTGCTGAGGGGGGTCCTGGGTGGCAGCCGGGACCTGAGGACAGAAGGCAGGGTTGGGCAGGTGGGAAAGAAGTGGGGGGCTCCAGCCTGGTGGGGCACCCTGCGTGCTGGCAGTGCCAGCCGGGCTACTCACCTCTCTGAGGACTCCTCCGCGCAGCCTGGTTCACTGCTGGCGCTGGGCGTGTGCCTGGCCGAGGTAACTCATGTCTGTGGCCCGGGGGCCCCCCAGTACCCCCATTGGGGAGGGGGAGGGGCGGAGCTCAGCGCCCACCTTCTCAACACCAAGGGTCCCTTGCTCAGTGTGGGAGCGGGCGCCTCAGCCTCCCTCCATCCCCCCCCCGCCCCCGTTCTCATGCCGCTGGTTATTTTTACCACCGTCATGGGACCTGTTCCGAGGTGAGGAGGCGGGGTGCCCTGTGGTGACACAAGGGGTGTGAGGGGCAGCCGAGGGGTGTGTGGGGACGAAGAGGCGGCCGAGAGGGGAGGTGTGTGGGGAGGTGGGAGGGTGGGGAGCACTCTGGGGGGTGCGGAGGGGGGCTGCCGGGGCAGGAGGGGCCCCCTCGGGAAGAGGGCATCTGCAGTCTGGTCCCCTTGCAGTTCAAGCCTTCAGAACGTGGATCAGGTCCCGTCACCACCTCTCGCCCCGTTTCCAGACTCGGACTAAAACCCCAGCCCGTCCCCGAGGCATGTGGCCTCAGCCACTCGCAGGGCCCCCTCGTCTCCGCATCACTCTTCGTGGCTTCCTCCAACACCCGAGCTTTGTGCACGTCCTGCTCCTTCTGCCCTGCCCTTTGACCTGGCTTCCTCCTGCTCGCCTGAGGTCTCAAAGTCACCCTCTGCAGGGGACCTTAGCTGGCTCTTTCCTGCTCGGCCTGCCCTCTTCCCAGTGGTCCTTCGGAGGCCACCCCCTCCCCAACCCTCGGTCTGGGAGGTTGGCCCTCCTCCCCAGGCTCTTGCACCACACCTGCCGACCCATGGCTTCCAAATCCAGCAGGCCACATGACAGGCTGAGGGGAGGCCCGTGAGCCGAGGCGGGCCAGTGCAGAGCAGTTCTGGGCTAGGCTGGCCGAGACAGAGCTCTGCTTCCCGTTGATGGCACGGCGGTGCCCTCCCAGAGCTGTGGCCCCCACCTCATCTCTCCTCCCTGTGGAGTGCAGGCTGCTCCTGGGAGTGAGGCCGACACAGTGGGAAGCACGGCCAGAGAAAGGGAGCCCCTGGATCTAGCCATGCTTGAAGCTAGTATACCTCTGGAGTTCATGATCACCTTTCGTCTTTGGGCAAAGTCAGCTGGTGGGCGGAGTTTTCTATTGCTTGTCCTGGCTGGTGCTGCCTAGTCCACACATCAAGGTCCAATCATCCACCTCCGCAACTCTTGCACAGCACCTTGGTCTATATAATTCCACTAATACTTATATGTGACTGATTAATGTGCACTCACATGATTATCTGTGTGACCTGGTCTAAGGTCTCCGACAGACTGAATCCCCAACGTCCCAGGGGCCAGGGCGGCAACTGCCCGCACAGCAGCTGGCGCACGGCAGGCGCTCAGGAGCAGTGTGCAGGGCTCCCCCGTGGATTCCTGCATCCCGGCATGTGGAGGAGGGAACGGTGCAGTCGCTCAGAGCCTGGGCTCTAGTCAGAGAGGGCCTGGTTCGAATCCCAGCGTGGAGCGGCCTTGGGCAAGGTGTCTATCCTCCCTGAGCCCCAGTCTCACCTGCCAGGGACAGTGCTGGCCCCCGCTCACAGGGCGGCGGCCAGGGCACAGCGAGACAAATGATGCCCGGTACCTGGTGCACAGTAAGCGCCAACTGCTGTGGGTGGCAGTGTGCTTGGGCAGAGGCGCCCCAGCCAGGACACCAGCTGTCCCGTGGGGTCCACCCAAGGTCAGGCAAGGTGCTCGTGCAGCAGACGCTGGTGCCACAAAATTGGTAAAGCTCTTTATTCAGCCCTGGAGTGGAGCTGGCCCCACAGCGGGGCGGCAGGGGCTGCTCAGGGCCCCATCTTCAGTCCTTGAGCTGGAATCCGGGGAAATGTAGGCGGGGCTGGTAGGCACCAGGTGCCAGCAGCTGCAGGGTGAACTCGGTGATGACTGCCGTTATCCCCCAGACACGGTGTGGCCCGTGGAGGAAGACAGGCATTGTGTAGCCGAAGTGGTCACCCCGGCAGAAGTGGGTATAGCCTTGGTTCTGCACCTGCAGCAGGTGGGCCAGGGGCAGTGCAAACACCTCATCCACCTATGAGCACGAGGCAGCGAGAGGGTGAGCAGAGCACTGGCTGCTGCCTCGGGGCAACCCAGTCCCCCAGGATCCCTGCCCTGACTCACCTCGTCAGGGTTGGGCTTGAGGCTCTGGAGATCCACGGGGCCCACGCCGGCAAGCACAGGCACCACGGTGTTCTTTGCCTAGGGCAGCAAGGCAGGCGGTCAGGGGAGGCGTGGTCTTGGCAGGGCTGCAGGACTGGGGAGGAGAGGCTGAGAGGAAGGCCCCACCCTTGCCATCCAAGGCCATGTCCACGCGGACCCTGCCCTGAGGCACCCTCCAGCCATGCTGACTCCGGTTCTCCACTCCAGCCTCTGGGCCTTTGCAGATGCCCCCTCCACTCGGAACCACCTTGCCTTACTTTTCCTACCCGGAAATCTGCCACTTGTCATTCAGTTCCTTCCCACCTGTGAGGCCGCCCCTCATCCACCAAACTGAGCAGATCCGGCTCACTCCAGAGCCACCCCCAACCCAGGGCCTGAGTCTCAGTATCCCCCCTGAAAAGAGCATAGAAATACCACTGGCCCCTCCCAGACAGGTTGTGTGGGGACAGAAGACGGCCACCAGGTCAGTGTCCGGTGCTCCGCTGCGTTCTACACCTGCTAACATCTGAGACCATGCTCTTTGCCCCTGGGGTCCCAGCTCCTAGCGCAGGGCGGGCAGAGCAGGTGAATGCGGTCCGGGCTGGCTGTGGCCTCAGGGCCCGGTGGACTCACCTGGTCATACACGGGGTGCAGGATGCCCCACACATGGTCCTCAGGCACAGCCAGGCCCACCTCCTCGTGGGTCTCCCTCAGGGCCGTGTGCACCACATCCTGGTCGGTGGGGTCACACTTGCCGCCTGGGAAACTAAACGGGCATAGGCGTCCTGGTCCTTGGGCTGTTGGGACCATGGCGGGGTGGGGGTGGCAGCTGTGGCAGAGGGCCAGCACCCATCTAAGCTGCTGCCCCTAGTCTGAGTGAGTCCTCTGGCAGGCGGAGAGGCCTCTCCAGGCTCTCAGTCTACCTCCCTGAGCAAGGGGGTAAAGGAGAGAGGCTCTGGAACTCAGGGACGCAAATTCTGTCTATGGTGGTCCCAGTGGCACTGACATTGACCCCAATAGGGTGTCCCCAATTCCCACTGAGGGCGGGGCCAGAGCGGGAAGCCGGGAAGCCTCACCCAGAGCGCATCCAAGGCTCTGGGACCCGAATCTCCCCATAGTGGTCGAGAGGGCCCGGGGTCATGCCTTTTTAGAGGGGGGGGCACAGCTCAGAGAGAGGCGTCGCCGGCCCGAGGACGCACTTCCAGGGAGCCCTCCCAGGCTCCGGGAAGAGGAATGCAGGTCGCTGCTCCCGCCTTGGCCTGCAGACCCATTCTACGGAGGCGGAAACCGAGGCTCTGAGAGGTTAAGTGCCTTGCCCACGGTCCCAGCGGTCTCCGGGGTTCGGCAGCCTCCTTCTAGAAGGAAGAGGACTTTCCCGGCGGTGTACCTGACTTCCCCCTTGTGCCTCCCGACCAAGCGGCTGGACCGCAACGTGTAGAGCAGCGCCGGGACCCCGCGCACGGAGCACAGCGGCACGAGCACTGCGGCCGCCGCGGGCCGCGCGCGGAGCCGGGCCGTGGCTTTGGTCAGCAGCTGCCGACAGCGCTGCTCGCCCTCCGCGGACAGGCAGTCAGGCAGCATGTCCGGCCCGGCACTGCCGCGACCTAAGGGCGTCCGGCGGACTTAGGAAAGGGGCGGGGAAGCGCTCAAGGGGCCTGGAACCGTGTAGGGGCCGGGGGAGGAGTCAGCCTAAACGCCCCGCTCCGTCCCATCTCTGGGGCTCGGAAGCCGTCCCGGCTGCGCCCTAGGGGGAGGGGCCTGCACAAGTGGGCGGGATCGCGGTGAAGGGGCGGGGCCTATGTCGGGAAAGCAGTGGGCGGGACCTAAGGGCGTGGCCTCGCAGCGAGCTACCGGAGAGACCGGAAGGGGCGTGGAAAGATGCCAATGGTAGCCCGCGAAGGGCGGGCCTGAGCCAAGGCGGAAGCTAGGGCCGATAGTGTGTCCTCGGGTCGGGGTGTCTCGCTGTTGAGGCCCCGCTGGGCTCCCGCCCTGGCGCCGTTGTGTGTCCGTTCTTCTCCAAGGACCTCCCAGGAAGTGCTCCAACGTGGGCGGGCTCGGCGTTTAGGGGGTTCATAGGGCGCCCCTAGGAGGCCGAGCACGTCAGGGGCAGCTGGGGTGTGTCCTCCTGGTCCCGCAAGGTGGCGCGCGCTGCGCTCTCCCGCTCCAGTCCGGCTTCCGCCCAAAACTGTCTCGCCGCCTCCTATCCCCTCCCCTGCACTTTCTACTCCTTTAGGTCTTGGTTTAAATGCCACTCTCTAAAAGTTGTCTTGTGTCGAGTCTTGATCAGATTCTCAAGTTTCTCCCCTCAACAAACCGTGGCCCGTGTGGTCATTTCCTGTCGTGGCTTTGTAACCCTCCTCCACACCCTGGCCCCTCGAGGACCACGGGACTCCCACCTCACGCACAGCACCTAAACGTGGAATGGCAGGTGGCACCATACTTTGCGTTGACTTCCAGCAAGCACCTCTCTGAGCTGCAGTGTGGGTCCTCATCTGGACACACACCCCCCCAGCCTCCCACCCAGGCCTCTGCCACTCGACTGGTGTCGGCACCCTTGCCGTCACTCTGCCCCCAGGGATGCCAATGGCACTGGAAGAGCTTTGGGATGTCTGCAGCCCAGACTCTGGGGTCGGGGCGTTCCTGAGGCCCTCCACCCCGATCCCCGGAGACGGAAATGCTGTAGCCACCCATGCCAAACAGTTTAATGTCGGGGGTAAGGAGGAAGGAAAGCAGGGTTTGGAGGAGTCACCCCCAAGGCAGAAGGGGACAGGCTGGGGTGTAGGAGGTCTGGTTCCAAGCCTGGCACCATCCCAGCCTTGCTGTGATTCTGGCCAGGTAGCCTCCCTCTCTGGCTTCTATCTTCAGATAGAAGCCGTCCCCTCCCAGACTGCTCTCCTTGGGACGGGACGGTGTCTCTGCAGAGGTGAGGCTGGAGGCAGTGCGGTCCAGGGTAAGAGGACTCTGTCCCCTGGGCACCCACCATCACTGAGGATCCTGGCGAGATCCCAGGCACACAGCCGTGGGGGACGGGAGGCCCAGCCCAGCTTGAAGGGGCAGGCCCCCCTGATCCCTGTCAGCCTGGATATTGGGGAGGGGGTATGGTGTTGGTCGGGCCCTTGGGATTCCAAGGGGACTTGAGGCTCCAGGGTACAGGTCCTGACAGGTGAGGGCCCGATAGGTGGTGGGGGCCAGCAGTGCCTCCGGGGTGGCCAGCAGCTGATGGTGGAGCCGGGCAGGCGCCCTGGAGGTGGAAGCTGGAGCTTCGTTGGGGTCAGAGGGAGGAAGTGGTCCGAGTGAGAGCCCCAGAGCTCCCCTCACACCCACGCCTGCTCCGCCCCCTTCTCTGCCCTTCCCATCCCATCCCGAGTTGTCCGTCTCTCAGCCTTTGCTCTTGCTCTTCCCTCTGCCTGGAATTTCTTTCCCACTTTCTCCCTCTATCCAAACCCTTCCCAGTCCTCCAAGGCCCAGCTTGAGAACCACCTCCTCCAGGAGGCCCACCTGACACTCTCCGCCCCTGCTCTCAGCACCTCGTTCCGGCTCTGTTCTCTCTGGCCTGGGCCTCCGATTGTCTCAGAAACCTCTGCTTCCCCCTCTCTGTCCACACAGGTGCCCAGTGGGCTTGCTGAGCATGCCAGAGCCCTGTGGCCCTGTCCCCTTGCTGCTCACCCACCATGTAGGCTCTGGTCCCACCACGTGGGTCTGGGGACGAACCTTTCTCCTGCTCTGTGGCACCCTTCAGCAGACAGGAGCTGAGGCTACCGCGACCCCGGGCTGCGGCTCCGAGCAGGGGCCGTGGAGGTGCCGTCCTGAAGGTGGGGTGGGCAGGAGTGGGGGCAGGGAGTCAAGGTGAAGCACCCAGGCTAAAGGTCTGGTTCAGAGTCAGCCAGTGAGACCCCAGGACCAGGCAATGGGCATGACCCTCAAACAAGGGTCGGGAGCCAAGGCCTTAGGAGATTCCTGGGGACGGGGGTGAAGGGCTGGGTGGGGGCGGCGGGGCACAACCGGCAGGGGTCAGACAGTACCAGGAGTCCGGGTCACTCTCTCGAAAGCCCTTGGCAAAAGGGTTGCTGGCGATTTTCAGCTGGGTGATCTGCAGAGGGGCGAGTGAAGTTACGGGTCAGCCCTGCTCTGGGCGGAGAGTTCGGGGCCCCAGACTCAGCCATCCCCACCTCCCTGGACAGCCCCCACCCCCGTCAGGAGGTGCTGGGACCCAGAGCCACTGTGGGTGGGAAGGGAAGGGAATGGCTGGGCACGTGCTCGCTGTGTCCCAGGCAAGGAGGGAAGGGCCGGGGTCCGCGTGCACAGGGGAGCCAAGAGCCTCGAGCCTCAGTCTCCAGCCCTGTGAAATGGGCCGGCGGGCGCCCACAAGCTGCGGCCCGACCCACCCGGTGGTTCTGATACGCCGTCACGGCCGTGAACTGGGTCTCCGTGAAGACGAAGGATTTGAAGTTCTCCTGGGCGTAGCGCTCGCTGTCCTTGCGCGGGTCCACGAAGACCACGTGGAAGCGAGGCTGGTAGCGGTGCATGGAGTTGAGGATGATCTGCGGGGGACGCGGGGGGGGGGCGGGGCTGTGCCGGGGCGGCGGACGGTGGCAAGCTCCCACCGAGGCTGACGCCCTCCCCCCCCGCCCCCCGCCCGGGCCGAGCGGGTGCCCTGGCCTGCTGCCCCCCTTTCTTGGGCCGGCGGAGCGGGCTCTGCGTCAAGACCCCTTGGGGCTGAGCATCCTCGCTGCTTCGCCTGTCCTCACACCCGCGTCCCGGCTGCCCGCTTGGCCTGCAGAGTCCCCCGTATCCCGCCGCCGCCGCCGCTCCCACCCCACCGCCACTCCCCATGCTGGCCTCCATTGCCTTTCACCTGGGCTTCCCCAGCCGCCTCCTGGCTGGTCTCCCTGCCGCCTCTGGCCCCTCTGTCCCTTCACACAGCACCCCCAGTGAGCCCCGGCATGTCACCCCTTCCTCAACACCGCCCTGGGGCTCCCCACCCCACACAGAGCAAAAGCCAGAACCTCTCTGCTGGTGAGCCTGGCTGCCCCAGGCCCTCTCCCCGCCCCCCTCCCTCTCCTCGCTCCAATGCAGCTACACGGGAGCCCCTTGCAGTCCCCACCCCCAACATTTCCCTAGCCTCAGGGCCTTTGCACGGGCCGCTCCCCTGCCTGCAACAGCTCCCCTTCTGGGTGCACAGGCTCCCTCCACTGCCCCTACTGTCTCCTCTGCAGCTGCCCGGGCCCCTGGCCGCACAGCCGCCTCTGTCCCAGGCCCCTCCCTGGCTCCTTTTTCTCCTGGCACTTATCACCGCCTGAGACACTGCATCCTGTGCCTTCGGAGTTCTTGCGGTCCCGTGGTCTGGCACCTAAACTGGGCCTGCTTCGTGGAGGGTGGTCCCATAGACACTGTCCATGAGGACAACAGCGTTTGCTGGAACATTCCCACTCTCCCAACCCACTTCCCCACCTGCCTGGACAGTCAGTCCCCTCTGCCGTCCAGCCCCGGGCCAGGTGAGCTCAGCTCCCCAGCTTTGACCCCCAGCAGTGGGCGGGCAGGCTGGGCGGCAAGGCCGTTGGCACCAAAGGCCCGGCCTGCCCCGGCTCCCGGCTCTGTCACAACCAGGCCCCGGCGTCCCCTGACCGGGCCCAGCCCCTCCCCCTGCGCCCGGGCCTCACGTGGCCGTTGTCGTCCAGCAGGTTGTTGGTCAGCTTGAGCTTGTCGAAGGACACAATCTGGCGCATCCACTGCGCCCCCTTGGCCGGCGAGTCGGGGTGGAAGTGCACACGGCCTGGCGTGGCCGGGTCCGCCTTGCCTGCCACCAGCCAGGCCGAGCTGTGGAAGGCGTACCTGGGGGGCAGAATGGCAGCGAGGTCCCCGTCTGCGGCCCCCGCGGCCCCCCTGCCCGGGGCCGAGACTGGCGGGCGAAGGGGCTGTCCGTGTCTCCACCACCGCCCACACACCACCCCCACCTCGCGCACGAGGAACGCCGGGCTCTGAGACTGCCGCCCGGCCCTGAGTCCCCTGTGGCTCCTCCTGCTGCCCCGGCCAGCCCCTCTGCCTGACCAGGCTGCCCGCTGCCCACTTCAGGCTGTGGGCTGCCCCAGGCCTGGGCTCGCTCTGCCACGGGGTCCCCGCTGCTGCCCCGGGATAGACCCTCCGGGGGGGCGGCCCAGACTGGCCCCTGCCTCCTCGGAGTGCCGCTAGGGGTCAGCCTCCCCGTCTCAGCACCTGAGGCTGGAGCTCCTTCCCGGGGCCCCAGACCTGTATCTCTTGTCGTCCAGGGGCACGAAGTCCATGAGCAGGGCGTAGTCCGCCAGCGAGTCCATGCCCAGGATCTTCACCTGGAAGGTGGGGAACATCCTCCTGCGGGGGGGGGGTGCCAGCAGCCTGAATTCGGCCCCCGCCGAGCCCCCCGCCCCCCGCCGCGCACACACACGCCCCCACCCACTGCTCACACCTGCCTGCCTTGGTGACGATCATCTCCGTGCCCAGCTGGTTGAATTCCTCCCACAGAGCCTTCATCTCCAGCTGGACCATCACGCCGGACACGTGCGGGTTCTTGGGGCCCTGCCCGGCGGGCTCGCCCACGGCCGGGGCCCCTGCGGAGCCGGGGGTGGGGCCCGACGGGAACGGAGACGCCAGCCGGGGCTCCCAGCTGGAGCTGGTCATGGGCAGG